AATAGAAATGAGCAACTTTCTTTGCCTGGAGGAGGGGATAGCAGGCACCCACCTCCAGGCTGTGCTCTCTGTAAAGGAAGGAAATGCAAGCCTGTGATTGGAGCTACTTCTGGGATGATCTATTCCAAATTTGCTGGGCTTTATTCAACTCCTGTAACATTTTATTTCCTATTATTATAATAGATAGTAGCAAACTTTACCATCTTAATGGTTTCTTCTGAGGCACTTAAAAGTGTTTTGTAAACACTGATGACAGTGCTTTCTTAACATAGGGAATAACAACAATCTCCGATTTACTGATGGGGAGAAGGAGGTATCTAGTCAAAGTCCAAGGAATACAACCCATAGGCCCCACCTCTTAGTCACCATATATTACATCACTTTCATCTTATTCCTCAACAGTAATTCTTGGTATTAGCACTTAAATAGAGTTGACACATGGCATACGTTCAAGGCCAGGTTGGACAGAGCCTTGGGTGACACAGCTTAGTGTGAGGTGTCCCTGCACATGGCAGGGGGGGTGGAACTTGATGATCTTCCCAACCCTAAGTATTCTATGATTCTATACGTGATCTCTGCCTCCCTCTTTTTTTAATAGCAGATTAAATCCCTATAATTACAAAGTGGCTTAAGAGGGGCCCAACATAGAATCATTGACTATTTCCAGAAATTTTGAGAGAATCTTCATTTTTTCTCAGAAGTTTTTTGGAGTTATTTTCTCACTTACTGAGAAGCAAAACTCTGAAAATGCAGCTTAAATGTAAGGCAATTTTGAAGTGAATTTAGCAGAAACTGTGCCTCTCTCTGAAGCTTCCAAACCCACCAGATTTTAACCTGCCTCATGCCCTTTACACTCAGTTGTGTGAGCTGCTTTTCCATGTGCCTGTGGAGCTGCTGGGGCTCACCTGGGAGATGTTCCCAAGTTGCAGCAAGCAAGTGGGCCTAATGCAATGCAATTTGACTTACCACTTGATGTACCTCCACACCATGGAGATGTTTTAAATGGTGGTTTCCTAAAGGACTCAGAAATGCTGAAGGTGACCTGGGAGCCTACCTCACGAGTACATGCCTTCTCACTGTTTTTGAATGCACAGGCATGCTAACAAAAATATGCGGAGCTTGCCATGCAAATATACACTCACACACAGGCATGCAGATGAACATGCCTGCATACAGGAAAGTCTCAGATAGAAACACCCATCCATAAGCAGACAAATTGCATAGTTAGGTAGCCACATGGGCTCAGAAAACTTATTCATAGGCTCAGTTACATACACAACAACCCATATGTCTCCAGCAACAACAGTTCAATAACACAAATGTGTATGAAATATGTATGCTTGCATACACACTCTTTTTCTCTCATACACAGATTCATGTCTGTACACTCTCCCATGGATTCGAAGCCCATACGCAGGCATCCAAACACGTTCAGGAATATATACTACACCTAGTGGAGTGCACACACAAAGACCCACCCATGCACACTCACGTATATCATAACAAAGGTTTTGGCCTGTGAAATTACTTTTCAGAAAACAAAACTAATTGTCAAAAGGAAAAAAAAACAACCCAGAGCACAGGGAGCTGCACAGATGCAATCACATACCTACACACACACTGTGGAACCTGCCAGTCAGGGTTCCCACCACAACTACAGCTATTGCAGCTCAGCACCTGCTGGATATGCTTCCCTGAATGCAAACATCTGGTGAACCTCAGAGATTTCAGGTTTATCCATCCATGGCCACATATCAAACTAACCCGTGCCAGGTGTCAACATCTTCCCTAACTGACCACAATGAAAACTATCCGTAAGCTCCAAGAGCAGCATGTTCCAAGATCCTACCACAAACGTCCTTCAGCTTCTAGGGAGCTGGGTAGAAACATCTTACCTGCACCTGACCAGCCTAAACATCTCCAATTAGTGGAGTTTATTGGAATTTTAGTGTTTATTTTTCCTTTTTCAGATTCCAGGTCTCTTGGAAAAAGACAAGACATTGTACAGAAACACAAGGCAGGGTTTGCTCAAACCCACAAACAGCAAGAAAGCAACAAGCTCCTGAGGAGAAGGGGGGAAGTATATCTGATAAACTGCCTCACACTGCTTGGGAAGATGACAACTGTCCGTCCAAGATGGGCTGCTACTTCCAAAGCCCATTTTCTACAGATGTAACATACCAAGTGCTGCTAGCAGGAAGGGAATCCGACAGGACAAACCAACATACAAAACATTCTCTTATTCAATACAGGTTATAAGTGCAAAGGGATTTCAGAACATTTCAGAATAAATTTCATCCATAGCTGCTGCTCATTTATCAGTGCATCAAAAGACTGTGCAAGTTTTTAGTAACAAACATTTGAAACTAGTAGCAAAGGACTTGCCTAGATAAAAAGAGAAGATTTAAACATGCCGGGTAACAAAAAGATGTGTGCAGAGGTCTGTAAAAACTGTATAGAAGGAAAGGATTCTTTAGAGGAAACAGAGGGACCATTGTGCAATACTCTTCATAACCCTTACTATAAGGGTCAGGGCCACTCCTGCTGCCTCCTCAACTAAGACAGGTGATGGTTGCTTGGACAGAGGCACACCCTCATTTTTCATAGACTTCTATAACCAAAAACGGGATTCTGGTCCTTGGCTGACATGAACTCTAATTTAGCCAGGGAATGGAAAAGAGAGGGAGCCTTGTCAATGGTAGTTAAGCACCCCAGTATGGATAGCCCTGGAGACTGAAGATCAGAACATAGCACAATTAGCAGCAGTGTGACCTGCTTGACAACATGCTGAGAATGAATGTTATTTATCCCGCTTAAATTTAGTGTCTGAGAACTGGGTGTCTAGACAAACCTAACAAACCTAGACACTCATTAGTCACTGGATGGGCAGATCCAAAGAGCAATTAATTTTTTCCTGTCATAGACACATGCAGGGAGGCACCAGCTGGCTTGGGGAGGTGTGCGTTTCACTCCACTAACAGTGAGAAGAGGCCTGGGTGACTATTCGTCTTCCTCTCAGATGACTGAAGTTTAATGAGATGTATATCAAGCGTTTTAACCCTTGATGTAAAAAGTTCTTTAATTTATAGGACATTACTGTAAATTTCTTCAAAAGGATCCACTAGATTTCCCCCCCAGTACAGGGCTTCTGACTATGATAGACCTCCATTTATTTATGGAAACACAAGAATTTCCTGCCTTTCTCCTTGGAAGACTTCTGTACAGATCCAAATACATCAGTCAGGAAAGTCTTGTTGATGCTTAGCATAATTCATCTCCAGAGGACATACTTACATCCTCTGTTACAATGTACAGTTCTTCCTTTGTGGATGAGAATTGAACTTTTCCACAATCTGAAGGCTATTGCCAGGATCCCCATTTAGGTTTGTTGTGAGAAGTCTGACATAAAAAAGACTTTAATTTTATTCCTCAAAATGAACAACTTCAGCTTCCTGATCATTGTGACTTCCGCCTACAGTCAGTCCATTCCTAATATCTCTTTAGTAAAAGGGTAACCAAAATGGTTTACAACATTCTGGGAGATTTTTTTTTGGTGTATGCCCAGAAAGTAGCACATTTAACAGATGCAAAATAAAAGTTAATGTCTCTTCAAAGACAAGGAAAATAGACTAGTTGAACAGAAAATAGACTAACTAAAAGATTTCATTTATTCTAAATCAAAATATTCCAACTTGGATAAATGTCCCTGTTTCAGAAAAAAAACAAAGGAAGAAAAAGAAAGTGTTGACCAGGAATTAAACTAGAACCTAGATATTTTGTTTGGAAAGTTCCAAGTAAGGCATTTTTACTTTTTCCAAAGTGTTGCCTACATTTTCCCCTAAACACAGTCAGTATTGAGTGAAAACTCTGCTGTCACTTTTCTGCTTGTGATGGATTGCCTCTACAGTACACAATTCCAAGCTGGAATGTTTACTCAACAGCTACATGATTTTGAAAATACATGATTGATTTGCCTTCATTAACATATTTACAGCAATTTTCTTTCAATTTTTTTTTTTCCTGGCCTTTCTAAGCTTGATTTTGCAGTGCAATTTTTGTCCGTGCTCGTAAACCTAGTGGTCCTTTGTTGTCTTTCTTGTGGGAATCTGTGCATTTCCTGCCTGCCCTTTATCTATCCTGTAATGCTACAGCCATCCACCTCCAAAAACACAGAGGAAGAAGTTTGCCTGAAGTGTTTTATTCCTTGAACACCAGCTGCTCATTTCAGTCTCCGTGGCTCATTCAATCCTTCACCTGTCTGCTGAGATGGGCACCAACCAGTGTTAATTGTGCTGGTGGAATTTGTGAGATGAAGCAAACTGGGTTTGTAAACCCAAAACCTGGATTGAAACCCTGGCACTTTGTTTTTCTTTGGGCTTCCTGCTTTGTTTTTATTTTATCTTTTCTTTCAAATTAGAAACTGAACATTAGGAGCAGGTTCCTCTGAACAGAGATCATGGAATCACAGATGGTTGGGTCTTTATTTCTTTTGGAGGCAGCCTGTTTGAGGAGGCACAAGGAGGATTCCTGGTTTGGTTCCCGCAGTTCCACCTCGAAAGAACTGACCTTTAGCTCTCTGTGGGGTGGAGAGTATTGAACTGCCATGGGAAGAAAAGCATAACACTGGGTAGACCAAAGTGCTGGCCTGGGACTATTCTAGTAGCTTCCCATGGCACAAATAGCTTTTTCACTTACACTCCACGTTTCCCATCACTTTTCCTGCTATACAGTTTAATTCATGCCAGGCGGATTATGAAGGGAAGAAAATGATGCAACAGTCAAAAAGTCCTTTAAGTCGTTCCAAAAATTAAAACATAATAAAAGAAAAAAAAAAACAACAAAAAAAAACAACAAAAAAGAGAGCTTCAAAACTAAAAAAAAAAGCTTTGAAAATAAAATCAAAAGAAAGGAGGAAAGGGGAAGGGGAAAAAAAAAAGAACCCGGGAAAGATGAGTGAATGTTAGAGCAGGCACGATCATGGACAGACGCCAGCTACTTACGTTCACCTCGGTGATTGCTATATCAACAATGCTACCCACAACAATCAAGGCGTCAAATGTATTCCATGCATCACAGAAATAGTGCTGCATGTGGCAGAGAAGCCAAGGAGAGAAAGAGAAAGAGAGAGAGAAAGGAAGAAAAAGAAAGAATGAGAGAGAGAGAGGGAGAAAGAAGGGAAAGAGAGAGGGAAAGGGAGAAAAGATGGGAAAAAAGTAAAAAGTAAAATAAATCAAAAAACAAAACAAAAGCATGAAAGAGGGAGAGAAGAGGAAAAAAAAATAAGAAAAGAAAGAGGTTACGTGGGCATATTAAATAGTCTCTTACCACTCTACAGTATTGGTTGCTCAAACCTCTGTAACGTTTCACATGGTGGAGGGTATCAACAAAAGCCTGGTTAGTCAGAAAGTTACACTCAAGCATGTCTACCTTTTGGAGGGAAAAAAAGCACACACACCCCAAACTCTGTGCGCTTTCACCAGTCACAGCTGTGGGGCGAGCTATGACAAGTGAAAAAGAAGGAGGCATTTCCCCCCCTCCTTTTTTTTTCCCTGGGAGAAGGAGAAGGACGACGGCAAGTTCAATAAAAGCATGACTAGAGGAAAAAAATAACAGAAAAAAAACAAACAAAGAAAGAGAAAAAAAGAGAGAAAGAGAGAAGGAACAGCAGAGGAGGAGGAGGTGGTGGTATCCTGGGGAGGGTAGAGTAATACTCACATTAGTTTCACTGAGAATGACGTCTATAATGCTGCCAATTACGATGAGGAAGTCAAAAACATTCCAAGGATCACTAAAGTAACCCTACATAAGGAAGGGGCAGGCAGGATGGGGATTAAAAAGGAATGTTAGACAGACAAAAACAGTTCAAAATTACCATTAGAATTACTCCCCTGATACGTGAAGGGGCTTTCCTCTTAAGTCTACTTGTTGCCTCTTAAGCTGCAGCCCAGTCCTGGGATCCCTGACGTGTGTGAGCAGCCCCTATCCAGTTAACATGATTCCAGAGCAGCTATCCCTTCTCTCCGACTTTGGGAGAGGGGGCAAAAGGAAGCCACACAGATCACTTTGAGCATATCTGCTCATAGGAGTAGGGCTTGAAGGACCAGCTCCTCCAGACACTTTGATTCCTCACAACACAGCACCCTTCCTCATCTGGCTTAGATTTGGCTGTGGGAACAGTATAGGAATGGAGTCATATGGTTCTCTCAAAAAATGGGTCCCCTTCTGCCAGTGTGAGTATTAATCCACCAGTCCATGCTCCAGATACAATGCTGTGTGCTGGCTTTAGGAGTGAATGGCTGGCTGCCCCGCTGCAGTGCATTCTACCCCGTCATGTTGGAGCAGAGGGCACAGAAGGGCTGAGGCTGTGCTACCTAAACCTCACTGCTTGTCACCTTTCTCTTCACCCAGCCATATTGAGTATTATGACAGCCATTACCTTAACATTTCTATTACTAATGCTTAAACTACAGGGCAGCACTGCCATTTCTGGTACTCTGAAAGCACATCTCACCACAAAATGAAGGTGTGAATGTAGCTCATCCTGATGTACCCCACCAGGAAGGGGTAAGAACAAGAGCAAAATTGGCTTTAGCATGTGCTAACTCGTGCTAAAGAGAGTGCCACAGAACCACTGCAACATTGGCTGTCTAGACAAACTATGGCAGATCCGCTAGCAAGTGTTAAACTCATACTTTTGCTTTGCTGTGCAGAATCATTTTGGGGCTATTTCAAATATCTCACTGTCCTAAGCAGAGCTCAGGAGAAGATAATCAGCACTGCTTAGTGTCCCCATCCTGCATGATTTTTGGCTGGGAAGGCTATAAGGATACAGGACCTGTTTGGAAAACGTTCTGTTCAGCCCAGGACATGAGCTTCTGCATATAAACTTCCTGTACAACACAGTATCATGAGCGAAGAAAATGTTAGCCCACTGAACGCCTGTGCCAACCTCTTCCCCTTGTTCTGCAGTCTTAAAAGGAGGCGAACATACAAAATGCTCCATACTCCTTTTATGTGTTTGGTTTTGTGAGCATGGGCTAAGCTGACCTCCCTGTTTCCCAGCTGCAGCATGTCTCCAGTGAGATTGAACCCAAGTTGCACTGCGACTGCTATTCTTAGCCAGAGAGTCAGGTCATGGGTAAAGTGTGAGTCTGTGTTCCCAGGCAGTGCTGCAGAAAGCAAAAAGAAAAAAAAAGAAAAAGAAAAAAAAAGAAAGGAAAAAAAAAAAACCCACCCCAAAATCCCAGCACTGGTACTGCACAAGCCAGGCTTGGGACCTGAAATTACTGTGGGTTCAACCATCAGATGGAGCAGGCACTGGTAAAAAGTGTGTTTCTGAACTGAAACACTGCCTCCAGGATGCTTGGAGACTCACATTTATAAGCTGCATTATGCTTGTGACAGGGGAAAAAAAAGAAAATCTGTGAAGCAGAAAAAGCCACTGCTCAGCTGGTTCTACCCCAGTGAAGGGAACTGGTGGAGTGGACTTTGAAATCTTCTCCAAACCAGCAAAAAAAACCCCTTTACTCTGCAGCCTGAAATAGGCAACTCTTAGCAGATCTACACTGGGAGAAGTAGTTATCCCATGGCTACACATTACTATGCAATTAGCTACAACAGGAAAGAAGGAAACAGGAGCAAAAGCAAATTCAGAGAATATTATTATTCAGCGTCCAGCCTAGAAAATACACAACAAATATTAGAATGAATTCAGCAGTGGTGTCCAGCATCGTTAGCAACCAGATGGACCTGGAATAAAACTGTAATTAGACTTCACCAAGAGGAAGGGGAGGGAGAGAACAGCAGATTAAATTGTAGAGGCAAACACATTTTGAATAAATAAAGGACAGACACAGATCATACAGAGTTGCAAAAAGTGCCTTTGCAGCCTGATGCGACCTTGGCAGACAACACGCTTGCAGGATCAAAGAGAACAGAATAGAAGACAACAGACCCAATCCTCCTGCCCCTGTTCATATGCACAGTGCTGGTGAAGGCAGTGGCACTGCTCACATGCCAAATGAATGCATCCATCCGATAGCATGGCTATCTTCCACTTTCTTCTCAAATTGCATAGTTTAGGAATTACTAAGGATTTCAGCAGGAACCCAAACAACTCCATAAAAACAGAGTTTGCTTTTGGGCAGCTGCAAGGGTGAAGATCCAAAACATGTTGCTCAGGTTTTGCCTATGAAAATGATGACTATCTAGTTTTAAATATGTGGTGATGGATAGGTGATTATTTTTACTATGATTGGCATCATACGTCAAAGAATGTTTTTGATGCAAACAAATTCACAGTTTCTTTTCACTGAGCAACTTCTTTACAAAGACCCCTAAAGCCACTGCTTCTGGTGGAATAGCATTTGCTTTTGGTACAAAATGCAGGTGACAAGTAGCATCAAGTCCTGTCCTCAGATGACCACTGAAGCCAGTGAAGTAAATTTTGCTCCCATTTGAGGTAATGCAGCTTCAACTGGAAGCAATGACACTGCACTGACAACACTGGCACATCTTAAGAGAGATTCAGGCCCAGAAAGAAAAGGTCCCTTTTTTATTGCCATTACCAATAGCTGCTTTGGACCTTTGTGACACCACAGCACATTTGAAGTCACTCTGCTAACTTTGGTGGTGCAGCTCTTTCTCATGGGGTGCTCTCCTGAGTCTCATCAGCCAGCTCCTTGCTTGAAAGTCATGAGCTGGTCTGCTCTGGGATCACAGAAAGAGCATTACCATGGTCTGTTACTGTGTAGCTTTAAGGTGGACTTAAGAGAGTTCTTCTCTTCCTCCTGTTCCTCTTAGATGAGTGACAGAGAGGAACCATGGATACGAATGCAGTTTTACTCAACCCCACATCCAATATGGCAGTGTTGAATTAAGAAAACACACGAAATTTAAAACTTTCCTTTCCTCCTCACCTGTTCCTTCTGTGTTTCAAACAGAAGGGTGAAAAATAGGAAGATATTATTCACAGGAAGAGAGCTCAAAGAAAACAGAGAAGATAGACACTTCATTTGCATGAAAGGTAATGGAATCTTTCCTTGAAAAGCCACCCTCCTTGGAGATATTTATACCAGCAAATGGCTATGTGGCCACTTAGCTTGGGATCAGACCTCAGAACCTTGTCAGGAGTTACGAGTACATATCGAAAGTGAACTAAACCCCTTTGGGACTTGCCTCTTGCAACCTCCAAGTATCTCTTCGAGCCACATTCTTCACTGGAGTGTACCAGGGTGGCTAATGAAAGACAAGCTGAATGAAGGAAGAGCTTTCACTCTAATAAAGAGGTTGTATTTCCAAACTGTTTTTCCCACCAGAAAGCTCTGTTTATTTTTCCCAAGGGGGTGGAGGTCTGACTGGAAATGAATTGATGGCACTGTTTGTTTTTGCAGTACAGGAATTAGGAGTGTAATACCATATTTTACCCTTAAAGGGAGACGCTTGACCTTGATTTAGCTGCACAATTGCATGCCACATAATGGCAACCTCAGGGGCTTACTGGGGAATGGTAGTCACCCTCTCTTGTGGGATGTCTTTGGAGATCCATGAAGCTTTTGGGGAGAAAGGAGGACAGAAAGAGACCAGGAGGATTGGACTGAATATTCAGAAAGCATGAAACAGCCCCACCATTAGAGCATATTTTTCCCCCACTTTTTTATTTCTCCAAAGGTAGCAAAGGATAGTGTATCACCACATGATCAATAAGTTAATGAAAGGTTGAGCATAAATATGCAGTAGCTGACTGGAATGGAATCTCATTTGTGCGAGGGGAGAAGACATGGTAGCATATCAGAATGAGCATGACAATCATTTTTAGGTTTCCTAGTTGCTGAGATTAGCTGTCAGAGAAGCTGGGGTTTGTTTTGGTACTTGTTGACCCACTGAAATCTCTGGATTGATTTGAGATGGGTTCAGAAGTTCCGTTACTTTTTGTGAATATGAGATCCTAATGCAGTATCTAAGAAGCCTCATTAACAGCAGAGAAAATTGTCCACTAGAGTCTGCCTGAAATTCTGAGCTCAAAGTCACCTGAGGCCCATAATAAAAATATGTGGTATCTGGCGAGCAATGTATCTACACTGAA